TCCTTCTATAAGCTATGTATCCATCTGCCTCTACTTCCCCGTGCCAACTCTAAAAGCTTCTAAAATCAATATTTCTTCTACTGAATGGGGCTTCCATTTAATGTTACTTAAATATATTCTACATCATTTTTCCAAAAATAGGAGCAAATGGTTAAAGCTGCCTCAGAGTATTAGTAGCCCATGTATTCAAGAGGTCATTTCTTGCAAGCACATGGTGGGATGGGATTAGCTGCTCTTTAATAAACTACAACATGCGAAACAATACAGACATCAAACAAAGCAAGCCAGTTTTGAATAATTTTTTGAGAAACTAGATCTAGAAGGTTGACGAGTTATCCAAGATCAAAACGCGAACATCGTTGACTCCGCCCCGTCAGAAAGCGGTATACACAGCACCCACATATCAGTCTAATCTAAAGTGTCCAGTGAGATGTGCTTTCACCCACCTCCAGGGGTACCAGACTCGCCAGCGGGGATGTCTGACTTCCTATATAATTAGGTGGGATAGAGCCGTACGAGACATTCTCACACTAGTACCACGGTACAGCAAGCTATTCTCACACCAGTACCACGGTACAGCAAACTGTACAGCAAGCTATTCTCACGATACAGCAAACTATTCTCACATCAGTACCACGGTACAGCAAACTGTTCTCACACTAGTACCAAGGTACAGCAAACTGTACAGCAAGCTATTCTCACGATACAGCAAACTATTCTCACATCAGTACCACGGTACAGCAAACTGTTCTCACACTAGTACCAAGGTACAGCAAACTGTACAGCAAGCTATTCTCACGATACAGCAAACTATTCTCACATCAGTACCACGGTACAGCAAACTGTTCTCACACTAGTACCACGGTACAGCAAACTGTACAGCAAGCTATTCTCACGATACAGCAAACTATTCTCACATCAGTACCACGGCAAAACAAGCTATTCTCACACCAGTACCACGGTACAGCAAACTGTTCTCACACTAGTATCGGGGTACAGCAAGCTATTATCACACTAGTACCACGGTACACCAAGCCATTATCACGGTACACCAAGCCATTCTTACACCAGTACCACGGTATAACAGGCTATTCTCACACCAGTACCTCGGAAAGCAATTAAAAAAGTCCACTAGTAAAGAAGGAACAGGAGAATAATGCCCGCCTAATGATAATACTTATTTAAACAATGAAAGTTGGCCATTAGTTCCCTCTAGAATGCGTGCACCTAGAAAACTAGGCTCGCTATGTTTATCAGCAACATGAATGTGACAGCAACCTCACATGCAACTACTAGCCACTATTGAGAATATCACGATATCCCACTATTTTTGTTTTAAATTTGGAAGTACAAATAGCAGTTTTACCAGGTACCTTTGCCACATATGTAACGAGTTCAACTTGAACTATCTATGTGAAAGAGCGTGCTGGGGGTAATGAGCCCAAACACAACGTTACAAAAACTAATTTAAAACTGTCCAGACAGGAGGCAAATCGTGTTTTTCTATTGACTGTTAGCACAAGTCAACTCATCTTGAACTGTCTGGTCAGGTTAATTCTTGAAGTTCTACAAACGGGAGTACGATCAACGTTTTTCCCACAAGTGTATTACGAGTAATTTACATTGTATTTGACATGATGTAGCATTCAATGGGAATATCGGTGAAAGAATGTGCACTAACACGCAGCCCGTTGCCATTCATGGCGGAAGTCTAAAAACTAAACAACAATGACCACTATTGTTTCCGTTTTAAACTGTGTTAACCCAGTTCTTGAAAGATCCATAAAAACGTTTACATGGACAGACGCTGCTCCGTCTTCATAGTGATGTCGTCGGTTGTGGAGACTGGGCGACCAAGAGGACCATAGATTTGGTCCCGACAGACGGCATCAACGAGATAACTATGATCTATGTATCACTCTATACGGCCAGACAGGGGTCGAGTGGCTCATGGAAATACAACATTCTTTCTAATGGCGGCTGACCTTTAAATAGAACAGTAGACAGGGGAATAGCATCGTGCGATGGACAGATACAGAGGTTTTCTATTGTAGAGATGGATGAAGAATGATGGCCATAGAGTGGTGGCACTCGAGAGATGGTTAAACAATTTACTTATTTACAGACACACCAGCTAGCTAGAGTACAGCGTAGAAAACAACACCTAGGTTGACGTAAAGTGTGACAGTTAGAGAAGGATATGTGGTCAGTTGAGATTTGTGTGGTCAGTTTAAGGGGGTTGTGTGGTCAGTTTAAGGGGGTTGTGTGGCCAGTTGAAGGGGGTGTGTGGTCAGTTGAAGGGGGTGTGTGGTCAGTTGAAGGGGGTTGTGTGGTCAGTTGAAGGGGGTTGTGTGGTCAGTTGGTGGGGGTTGTGTGGCCAGTTAGGGAGGGTTGTGTGGTCAGTTGGTGGGGGTTGTGTGGTCAGTTGGTGGGGGTTGTGTGGTCAGTTGGTGGGGGTTGTGTGGTCAGTTAGGGAGGGTTGTGTGGTCAGTTGATGGGGTTTGTGTAGTCAGCTGATGGGGGTTGTGTGGTCAGTTGATGGGGGTTGTGTGGTCAGCTGATGGGGGTTGTGTGGTCAGTTGATGGGGGTTGTGTGGTCAGTTGAGGAGGGCTGCGGTGGTCAGTTGAGGTCAGAAAAGGAGGTTCTGCGCTCATATAGGCAGTGTGTGATCAGAATGGGAGGGTTGTTATCTCACGTGTAAAGACGAAGAACGAACTTGGTCTAGTCAGGGTCAAGCCTCGACCTGCCAACACGACCATTTCAAACTGTCACTAAGTTACACAGGTAAGAGGATCAAACGGGAGGTGATCTCGCGTCGATGGACCGTGCCGAGTCAGCCAGACCGTGACTAAACGATTCACACAGCGGGCCACAACACGACAACCACCATCAACAATGGCGTGTAACGTGAAGGGGGGCTACCATCTTCGGTCAACCTCCGCATATTTCAGACCGGCGGTTTGCACTAAATGACAAATGGTTTCTAACAAGTGGCCCAAAATGTCTGAGCTGGTCAATGCCCAACACTTGGTCTGTGATGTTCATGGACACCTCGGGTGTCGGCGACTCTTTGAGTAGCGGTATTCTTCAACACACCAATGTTGATACCCAACTACAGCTAGGTAGAGGACCCCCCCCCTCCGCAAAACGAAAGCAACTTCATGCTTTCTACATGTCTGTGTGCATGTTATTTTACTACACACTAGACATATCTGGCTCGGTAAAGAAACAAACACGCCGCATGATCGGGTGATTATCACACAAGAAGACCTCAAGTGCCACAATACAATGCTGTAGTACTCAGTAGAGAGAAAATCAAATAGCTCTCAACGCTTCCTGCATTAAAAATGTGCTCTTCCTAACTACCGTACACTTGTATCATGTACTTCAAATAATTGATCACTTATCTTAACACTGGGTATATCGGGGGACAGTTAAAGATATAAGAAGCCGGCAAGTGAATAGTTACACTTATTATTAGAATGGCTCGGCACGCCTTTAGCAGTTAACTGCCGGGCGAAAGAAACGTGGGTTATTAGTATCATTATCAAACTGTGACATGAGACTAATTATTAATTAATGTTCCCATGTGAAGACACAGTTTCTTCTTAATGTTTCAGTACGTGTCATATCTTCTAGTAACTCCAGAAGTCAATTTAAAAAAGAAACATGTACACGACATGAAATAGGTGGACTTAAAACTGCGTGAATGTTCCTCTTGTGGGAACCGTTCCATGTTCAACACAGCAAATTCTCGTCTGACAAGATACGCCAACAGGGGAGATGATTACAGTCAATGATTGAACATACCGATGATCTAACTTGGTTGCTCGTGCACAGACAGGAATGCAGCTCCCGTTGGCTGGCTGATTTGTCTGTCTCAACCACAATAGGCCATTACATGAATATTAGTGCCATCGAGGGCTTATCACGGCCAGCGGTAATCTTTTAGATGGCATCATGCCAGATTGGACATTTTAAAACACGGGTTAGCATCAATACACCCCCCCCCCCCCCAGTCGCCATGTGAGAGTTTTCATCGGCATGCATTGCGACATAGCTTTTTTTTAAACAAGGGCATGGGGGAAATGTCACAGGGGCACCAGGGTTGGACAGGGATGAAATTTATATCTCTGTACATGAATAAGCTTGTTCTTTACAGGTGCTCATCAGATCTTCCAGATTCAAGTGTAATAACACCTGACACATTTAAAGGACTCACATCAGGGATAAGTCTCAGAAAACCTGACACCATTAACAAATGCAGAGCTATTTCAAGAACAAATCCCAAGAAAGTTTAACTTAAATATAAAAGGGCTAAAAGAAGTACTGTACAAAAATGTATGAATTCGTTATGACCACCATGGCTAATTTTAATTTATACCCTGAGCAGTTTTTTTTTAAAATTTAATGATTCATTAGACTTTTTAACAGCAGACACTTTGTTACCTGTAATGTAATAGCCCTAAAACTTGATAATAATATGCATTATTACAGAATCCTAATATAAAAGATGCTACCCTCTAAAGTAATGGCATCTATTTCATTCCGTTGGAACTAACTAGAAGGTCCAATTTTGACTCCCCCCCCCCCCCCTCTCGATTTACTACTCAAGCCTTCTACCAAGCAGAACAAGCAAATCAAACTCATCAGTGTATGGTGGGTAAGCATCATTACTGTATAAAACAGTTTTCAGGTTGAAGCATATGTGAATGACTACACAACAAGGGGAACTCAAGAAGACATTCAACATGTCTGATTAGCTGGAACAATTTCAAAGATTTCAGCTTTTGTGAGAAACAAACACTCCTTGCATGATAACACTGGTTGAGCTCAGACATTGGTGCACACAGATAAAAGCAAGGGGCAACCAGTGTGTTGCAACAACAAAAAATATTCTATTTACTGGGGGATTAAGTTACCTTATCCAACATCAACACAGCCCATATGGACTGTTGACTATGAGACAACAGCCTTCAAATATGTAAATTTAACTTACCCTTTTGTGAGAGGGTTGCTGCTAAAGTCCAATACTTGAAGGTTTTTACATAACTTTATCTTGTCTGGGATTTCAAAGATTTCTGTATACAATGAAAACAACAACAAAAAATTAAAATTACTAATTGTATCTATGGTCTGTTACTATTTTTAAACCATAATGAGTTAAGACACCTAATGTCATTTTTTTATTGAATAATACAGACATGCCAAAAATGTAATTATACAAAAAAGTTTGTTAACATAATAAACAATGTAGTAAGAAAACAGTACACAAGGCTATTATGCCCTTTCACCACCAACTCCACCGTTTAAGTTTGTTACTAAGGACAAGAACGCAGGAGAAAATTTAGACTTTACAATGTGTGAACTATTTCTGTTGATCAAAGTAATGGAAAAACATAATGAGAACCTGTAAATTATTCTAAAACTGCAAATCCATTTTACCAACCCTTGAGACTTTTAAGTTAAACCATTCTTTTCACAATAAGCTGTGTATTTACTCCAGTTAATATATAACCTAAATTAACTCATCTAACTTTAATTTGTATTATTTGAAATCTATTTTTTAAGTTTTTAGAATAATGCAGCTACTACTAAATAAAATATAAATCACTAAGCTTTTACAAAAATAAAAATAAAATAGCCATATAAGGATATCAAGGCCTGTAAATGGGGATGGATTGGACATACCCTAAGAAGGGAAGAAGATAATATTGCAAACAATTTTATGGACTGGAACTCCCAGGGAAAAAGGAAAGTGGGTCGGACAAAAAGATCATGGAGAGGAATGGTAGAGGAAGAGGCAAAGACCGCTGGGCTCTTGTGGGCACAGCCCAAAACCGAGTCCGGTGGAGAGGTGTAACTGCAGCACTTTGCTCCCCATGGGCCACAAAGGAAAATGATGATGGAGCAGTTACAAAAAACAGTTTTAAAATATAGAAATTAATCTCAACATTAATTTAAGTAAGTAAAATGCTTATAATTTTTTATATTTATACATGAAACCACAATGTTTTCACATACCCTACTGAAGAAATTAGATGATCAACATTCAAGAATGTTCAAGAAAAAAATTCAATCTATCAAAAAACCTCCACACCCACTCCCCCAAATGTTTTCATCAAAATTTCAGTGTCCATATTTGCAACCACACAGAAATTAAACAAAACATTTATTTAAATTTTAAAATGATCTGTGGAAAAAGCTTTAACATGAGACAATAAGTGTGTTAAACATCAAAGGTAGTCAACTAGATAATTTTAAAAACATTAGTTTAGCAAATTGACTAAAATTTCAAAACGACTGCTGGTTTTTTTTTCAGGAATCTGACAACCAAAATGATTATCATTTTGGAGTTTAGTACTTACTTGTAGATCTATAAACTAAAGATGGTTAAAAATTTATAAAAGTTAAGATTTGAAAAAGTGAACACCACTCATTTAAGTAGTCCAATGTAGGTATTTTTAAGAGTTCGGAATATCTTAAAAATACATGCAACTTATAATGTGTTTAGAAGTTTCTTTAAACTTTGTATTGTACTCAACAAAATAACAATTAATATGTATCTATTTTTTGAGTAGCAAAAGTAGTACTAACAATAATTTAATCAAAAAGACACAAGATTACAATTCTAACAATATGTCCAATAAAATGTAACATGTATGCTAAATTCATATAGCTGACAGTCTGTGAAACGGTGTTTTGAAAATACAAAAGTGTGGGTGTAAGACCATAGTCCAGCAAGCAGTTGGTAGGGTACAAACAGCTTTATCAAAAACTGTTCATAATAATCTTCACTAGGAGTGTGTATATGTACAAAGTCCCTCTACATACAAGATGGGACAGAGAGAGAAATAGTGCAACAGAGACTCCTTTATTCAAACCGCTTCTTATCAGATCAGACCTCTTATCACTTATAAGTTTAAATAATAAAAAGACAGACACTTCTCAATGTCATTAAAAGAACCAAAAAAAAATTGTTAACACACACAAACTGCCACCACTGTACACATCCAAACATTAAAACAGCTTGAGGTTATTAGGAGAGGCAGCTGTGTGTGATTAATAATACCAGCTTATAGTATTAGCTATAGGGGTCTATTGAATTATTGCTTGATAGCAGGTTGGAAAATAAATTATCAGAATTAAGGCCATACTACATAAAACAAACAATGGTTGCTTGTAAAATTTGGAAAAGCCTTGACCTGAGTCAACAGACTGAAAACAAAAATGCTGTGATCAGGCATATTTGTGCTTAAATACAGCTGATGGGAGAGAAGTACAAACCATGGCTAAATAGATCAATCCTAAAACAGAAAAGATAACAACTGCAACAAACATTACAAATTATTGTTTAAAGCAGTATGTTAATGCAAATATAGCCATTTATACCAAAAGGATGTAACTTTATTGGTAAGAATAATTGCAAAAAGGAGACATATTTGCAACATTAAACATGATTCTAGTTACATCAGCAGAGGAAAATGTCATACCTTCTGTAAAACTGTAATCTTCCAGGATAGTTTTTGTTTACAAACACAGAAGCATTAAATCACAAAGTCAATCCATAATTAAGATAACAGCTTAAGTTTAAGCCAGTGTGATGATGTCCCAGTACATGAACATTTACTTCTCAGATATTAAAATAATAACAGTTAGATTGTGATAAAAACTGAATCATTTTTAAAATGTTATCACCATCTAAAGGCCGTGTTATCTAACTTGTAAAAAACATGCTACTTAAGATGATAAAATTTGTTCTTAAATTTAGCCATGTGATCAAAACCTTGCAATGGAAATGAATGCTCCAGTGCTGTTCATTTTGTGATGTTGTCAACTGTATCAATGAAAAAAAAACCTAAAAACATTACCAGTCATACCAAATATAGATCATTATAGTACTAATGAATCATGGAAGGCACTTTATAAATTGTGATTTTTTTTTTTTTAAACTAAGAAATGTAGGGTTTTTTTTTTAGGAAAATGAGTTGGTACATGTAGCGATTCTTCAATTTTAAAAAAATTTATCATTTGGGCAATATCTTTGTAGGATAATTAGCTAAATAAAAACTATCAACCCCATGAAATAATTATTAGGCTAAATAATGGGCCAAAATTGTTGAAAGAAAGCTCAAACAAACAAAAAAAAACCTCACTATTCTTAAAAAAAAACCTCTTGGTCGCAATTTCAAACAAAGGTTAGTGAGTTAAAAAATGAACACAAAAATAAATATTTAATGTGTTTGGGAATGTTGTGTTTAGTTACAATTAAGCTACAGGCCTACTAAATTAATGTAGCCAACAGTCTTTATAATAGGCCTACTTACTTTATTATTATTCTCAAGCTTTGAGTTAGTGTCTAAAGTCTAGATGGTTTTATTAGTATTTATAACTGAATAGCAGTATGTAGTACATACAAACCATAGACAAACCCCAAATAGATCTAGATACCATACCAATTACTAACAAACAATACACAATTACACATGCATACAAAAGTGAAAAACCATGGGCCATGGTGTGTTGTGATCTTTTAATCTTATGATTTTATTTTTATTTTAATTAGTACAAATGTCAAATGTAAGGTCAATATATGATTACAGCAGCTTAATGTGCCTTAAAACTTGGGATTTATGTGGTAAATCCTAAAATTGTTATGACATGAGTCTCAAGGTTCCATGGTAAACTACCTAACTATGCACCGTACACACACACCTCAACACCGTTTTTTCCTGACACAGAGGAGTGACCCAGTGTGCTGATCCAACATGGCGGCAACCACCGATAACACACTTGAGGAAGAAATAATTATAAAATGGAATTTCCGTAATTAAAAAGAGACAAATGAAAAGCTTACCATTTTTACTAATATCCAATTCCATAAGATTAACAAAGTTTGATATTTCTTCGGGGAGACGCCCAATTTCATTGTCGCTGAGGCTTAACTTCCGCAATTGAACCAGGCGAAAAAATCCCTACCAGAAAAAAACAAGTGGTTGATGAGTGAAATAAATGACCTAGATCTAGTTAAAAAAAAAGAGAGATAATTAACGAATGTTACAAACTTACTCTTGGAAGTTCTTTAATTTGATTCGCATCTAGAGCTAATTCTTCTAAACTTCTTGCATATCGCAAAACATCGTCAGGAACACTCGTAAGGCCCCAGTGTCGTCTGTCCACCGATTCAACCTGTCTGTTACAGGCACGAAATAAAGGAATGCACTTCAACATGGCGAAATGAATCAACGATTAATCCTCAATTGGAACATGTATGAATCTTAATAAATCCACTTAAAACGAAAGTTGAAGGCATTCACATTCTGATCATTGATAGGGAGAGTGTCAACAATCCATGAGTCTGAGTTCGAAGTGTTGCCCACTTCGTGACGTCATGATAAAATAGTCCATCATGCCTGGTGTGCGGGCGTTCACAAACCAAATTATTTATCACTAGAAATTCAATTCGTGCTTTCTTTTTTAAAATAATTTCTTATTTTGAAAATGTAGTAATAGTAAACATTAATTCACAGTTATTTTATCACTAGTTGGCCTTTTTCTTATGAATTTCACTTATTCCTTAAAATATAAATTTGTACATTCTATTCATTTAATCCCTTTTACACTTCCATTATTTTTAGCTAGTGTACAGACAGGTGAGCCACTAGCGTTTCTTCCGCTACTCGAGGTCATGTGACCCTGTGTCTGGCATGCCAGGTATTTCGCGTAATGCACTCGGGTTTTCACCTGCATGTCTTCCTAAGCGAGTAGCTGTGTTGTAACTGTTCATAACAATACGACACAAAACGGAAATAGAAGCGGGAAGACTCAAATTTGTGCAGCTTTCCTTTGCTGGTACTAGATTTATAAATAAGTGGGATAAACAGCACTACTTTTTCCCTAAGCATGTCATACACCAAATTAAGGATAGTCACCCTTTTAAAAGTAGCCAATTTACCAAAAAAGAAGAATAATTAACAAATATTACCTTTAATTAATAGCTGAACTAATAGGCTAGTTTCATATAAACCTCGTTTCGCTAAAGCGATTGGTTTGTTTTATATTAGTGATAATTATGGGCGGATAAAATAAAACGGGTATTCCCCTGGTATTGCAACAAGTAGCCTATGATTCATAGGATGAGAAATGTTTAACTCACACGTAAATAAAGGAATTATATAAGCCTAAATATAGTCTGTCTTATAGGCCTATATATATATATATATATATATATATATATATATATATATATATATATATATATATATATATATATATATATATATATATATGCCTGTGCGTAGGCTATTTGTAAAATTCCCTTTTAGTCAAGTTTATAGTTAGGAGTCGTCCATAAATGACGTCACACCCAGGGAGAAGGATCAGTGGTTCGTAATTTTGTGACGTTTTGTGATAAGTGGGAGGGGGGGGGGGGGTTGTTGGATGGTGTGACGTCACGCGTTTGCATTTTAAAAACGTAATTTTAGAAACTGAAGTTTAGCCGTTCTTTCGCGTCTTAGAAAAGAGTTTTTGTAAATAGTAATAGAAATTGATTAAAATGCTCTGTTTACCGAGATCATTCGATATTTTACAAAGAAATCGATATTTTTAAAATTACTGCAATTTTGAGTGGGCATGTAGGCAGGGGTGTGACGTCTTTGGGGGGGGGGGGGTCTGGCTTTTTGTGACGATGTGTTACAGGGGAAAGGAATAAGGTAAAAATCGTCCAAAAAAACGTGACGTCCAGTAGCGTACGCAGGGGGGGGAGCAGGGGGAGCGGCCGCTCCCCCTCTGGCCATTTTCAGCAAAGTGGCGCCTTTTTGGAAACTTTTTAAACTTAAAGTTTTAAACAATGATATTTGTTAAAAAAATATTTTCAGTCGGCACATCTATGTAAATCCAGCCGATCCTACACTATTCTCAACGAGACTGTCGTTGAGTGGCTTATCAACAGTGTCGGTATATAATAACGCTATAGATTTTTTCTCATTTGATTCTGTCGTTGAGACTCTAGGCCCTAATTATAGTTATAAACTGTAAAAACTAGCTAACGGAATAAAACCATTTCGATTAATTAATCGCTTAAAATATTTAATATAAGAAAAATTAAACAACCATTCATTTTACAGAGCTAATAATAATTAATATTATAAAAAATGTATCTTCTGTCTTTAAAATTGAAAATTAAATTATTTTTAGCAATATAAATTAATACAGTGGATTGCTGAATTTAATTGTGATCATAGTTATGATTAATTTTAGAGATTGTATGATTAATTTATACACAATTTAGAATTACAGAATATTGATTATTCGGTATAGAAAACATTAGGGTAGAGATTACTAAACGATATAATATAGGATTATGTAATATAGAATATATTAGTATATTATTATAGAATCTAGGCTATACAACAAGTAATACATGATATGATTGCAAAATAGAAAAAAATACATAATATAAAGGCCCATTTTTTAATCGAATTTAAGACTCATTTCGTTTACAATATGTTATTACAAATGTAAAATTGCAGAATACGTAATAGCTATTTTTATCGAATTTATACATAGAATGTGCTATATAATCTTAAGAACATGATTATGTAGTGGCGTAGGTACAAGGTGTGCCAAGGGGCTATACCCCCCCCCCCCGATATATATATATATATATATATATATATATATATATATATATATATATATATATATATATATATACTGTACTCAAGTAGTACCCCTAACCAGAGGCGTCACAAGGTTGGGGGGGCGGGGCTGAGGACTGCGCAAGGTGGCAAAATTTCGGGGGTGACACCATGGCGAAAAATAGCAAAATATATAGAAGAAGTAAGCATTTTGCCAGTTCAATAAATGACTAATGAGAGTTAACTGTACTAATAACTGACTGCAGATTAAAAAATATACAATTAACTGTGCACGTTTAAAAACTATCATTCAGGGGGGGGGGGGGGGGGGGTCAGGGGAGATGACACAAACTGCAAAATGTACAGGTGAATACATGCTTGTTGAACTTTTGGATAACAGATTTGCTAAGCGACGACCGGAGAGAGGCTGATACCAAAATCTAATAATTTACGATGAAAACGATGCTTTTTTTTCACATGAATTAATAGGTGGATTATGTGCAAAATTTGACGCCATTGGGGAAAATGGGAAGTCACCAAATGTAGCTATAAAAAAAAAAATATATATATATATATATATATATATATATATATATATATATATATATATATATATATATATATATATATATATATATATATATATATATATATATATATATATATATATATATATATATATATATATATATATATATATGCATATGTAGAATTATTTATATTTCTCTCTATGTATATATATAATGAAGTTTTGCTTGTTTGTTTGTGGGTTTGTTTATGTCCTCTATGCAGCACTACACCTTTCATCCTATGGCCATGCAACTTAAGTTAAGAATACCACTGGATATATTTCACAAGCACGGTGCCCCAGCAGGGCGCGAATCGATTCTATATATAGATCCCTATATAGGGTATATATACGTAAAAGTAGATTGCGGTTTAATCCCGTTCATCCGCTCGCCATAAAACTTCAGGGGAGGTTATTTTTTTTTTATTTTAACAGGGCGGCGCTTCTGGAGGGTGCAATTTTTCTCTACACAGTTTGTAAAAAACAAAACGGATGCTGTTTGACATCGTTTATCTGAGTGCCGTTAAACTTTCGAGAGTTAATGAAAACACTCACGAGAAGGTTTCTGCGAAAACAAAAATTAAAATTTATTATGGGCGTTTCCCTGGAGGGTGCGATTTTTGTTAATAAACGGCTTGGCGCCTGAAAATCCAGGGCGGCGATATTAAAACTGCATGGGGGCTAAGGTAAAAAAGCAACAACAGGCGCAGCCGCCGGCGCCCCGGATATTACGTAACCCGAAGCGCCCCGTGCTACCATATGAACACTATGACGCCTACGTTCGTTTTTTTTTTAATTTATACACTAAAGACACGATGTGCAACAATAATTTTTGACTATATGGAATCAGGCGCGTCTGCCGGCTCCCCGGCAGGAAGCGATTTGGCGCCCTGAGATATCCTAAGGTTGTGTTAAAGAGCACTCTACAATATTGACCCTGTGGCACACGACATTCGATGACAATTCGTTTGACCCGATGCGCCACTGGCTTCGGGAGGAACACTATGAGTTTTAAAAGAGCGCCCTACAGTAGGGAAATTTTTTTGTCTACTGCACCACTGGCGTGTGGTCTAGCGCCCCTGTGTGGGTCCCTCATAAACACTATTGCGCCTACGTTCGTTTTAAAGAGTGCGATACATTATGGATACAATGGGCTACTGTGTGCGGTAGAATTTGCGCCTCAACAACTATGATGAAAGCAATATAACACCGGCTTTGATTACATTTAAATTGTTTAGATTTAGAAATCAATGTCAAGCGTAAAAAAATACGTGATTGCTAATGTAATTATGGAATCCTCTTAAAATATTGCGTCAGTCTGTCTTCTGAGACCGCAGCAACGCGCGGGACGGGTACGCTGGTTTAATATATATTTCTTCTATATAAATAATTCTCTTCATGGATACCATAGAAAACACCAAGCTGTAAGCGCCCCTAGCAGCCCCCTCTCTTTCTCTCTATCCCTACCACCCCCATCCCTACATGGTCTGGTGAGCTGTGGTTCAAGCTAAATGTTTACAATCGTAGAGCCGGGTTTAGTGACAGCTATTAGGGGCAATAGGGGTCATCCATAAATGACGTCACACTCGTAGGGGGGAGGGGGGGTCCGTAATTTTGTGACGATGTGTGATGAGGGGGAGGGGGGGGGGTCAGATGTTGCGACGTCACATTTTTTGCATTATAAAAATGAAATGTTAGAAAACGAATTTTAGACGTTATTTCGCGTTTTAGATAACTGTTTTGATAAATTGTAATAGTTTAGACAAGATTTTGGAAAAATATCAATGTTTAAAAAAAATTCAACTGCAATTTTGAGGGGGGTTGCGGGTTAAGGTGTGACGTCATTTTAGGGGGGGGGGTCTGGCTTTTTGTGACGAAGTGTGACGGAGGGGAGGGGGGAGGTAAAAATCGTCAAAAAAAGCGTGACGTCATTTATGGATGACCCCATAATTTAGTTTGAAACGATTTTAAACTTAGTGGAGGTAACTCAAAGGGGGCTGCTTTCACGAGGAGGGGGGGGGGGTAGGATTTTTGTGAAAGGAGGGTGGGGAGGGGGGGGGGTTATCGTCCTTAACGAGCTACTGATAGTGTTTTAAAGCAAATATTTTCAGTGGCAGCATTATTACTGTCAAATTCACAAATTATGAATTACTGAAAAGTAGAAAATGAAACAACAAAATAGCGGCGTATGATAGCGGCTCGTAAAATATAAAACACAATGTAAATACCTTTGTTATACCTACGGAAAATAATAATATGTAACATGGATTCCTGAAATTTTGCGCTGCTTTAATTTTTAACGTTGGGATCCTCCATCAACATCCATACTCTCCTTTAGTATGTTCAGGCTTTTTTTTTTCATTTATGGGAAGGGATGATCGGAAAGTGTGACGACACATTTTTGCTTTCATCCGTTATTTCGGGCTTTAAAAGATTGCTTTTGGTATTAATTCATTTATTAACTCAATGTTTATCGAGGTCAGTACATATTATAATAAACCGGGAGTGATCTCCCCTAAACTTTCTCGAATATTCTAATATAACACTACGGGGAATGGCAACTCGGGATATAGACATGATTTTTAATCCATTTTAAATACTTAAACTTTTTAAAATAGAATAAAACCTCGTAGAAAAAAGAATTGCACACCAAGTGAACGTCAAATAAAGATGTGCATAATAGTGCGCAACATTATTAGTACTTTATAAATTTACGTGCGTTTTTTGAGAAATCGGAAATAGCGTAAATTAGTGCTTCCTGTCAACGGAAAATACTCAAAATTTGACAGAAGGTAGAGAATTAGATCTTTTACTTACATGTGAAATTTCATTTATCTATCTGCAATAGTACTCAAGTTATAGGCTTTTGAAAAATTCAAAGTAGAAAAAGTACCACTTTCGGTTATCGGAAATCACTCAAAAGTTTATACGGATCTATGATTTTGATAAAATACTTATATATGAAATTTCATCAACCTAGCTGTAACGGTACTCAAGTAATCGTGTTTACACACAGACACACACAGACACAGACATACGGACAAGATTGCAAAATTATGTTTGTCCGTATCAGTGAGGTGTAAAACGTCGAGATTTGTAAAAAAAATCTCGATTTTTTTTTTTTTGCACGATTACAAGACTTTCTCTATACTTCGTATATACGAGAAAGTAAAAATGCAGTTTCAGGGGAACGGCGGAGGGGGTTATGTGTTGAGGTGTAGTGTTTTTAAAGAGAGTGGGGGGGGGGGGAGCGAAGATCTGGCTTTTTGTGAAAATTTGTTACAATTAGAGAAGGGGGGTTTGGTGCAAAATCGTCTGAAGAGTGAGTCGTGGTTAATGGGTGACCACTTTATGATTGTATATTGACGTCACCATCATTTTGGGCGGTGGCTTTATGTGACGATATGTAACGAGAAAAAAGAGGGTTGAGTTAATGGCGTAGCATTTATTTTGCATTTTTTAAGGATACAAATAATAAAAACACTGCTTATTTTGTTTTACATGTGTGACGACATTGTGTTAACCAAATGTATTGAAAAGTAGGACTTACAGATTATTAGTTCTCTCCCCCCCTGAAGCAATTACCCCCTGTCATTTACCCCCCGCCAAGGAGGACATCTCCCCCCCCCCCACGCACACACCTCTTAAGGTGCAGCTGGGGTTAGGGTTATGGTTAGGGTTACGGCTAGGGTTAGGGTTTGGGTTAGTGTTAGGGCTAGGGTTAGAGTTAGGGTTAGGGTTAGCGTTCTGGCTAAGGTTAAGATTATGGTTAGGGTTACGGCTAGGGTTAGGATTAGGGTTAGGGCTAGGGTTAGAGTTAGGGCTAGAGTTAGAGTTTGGGCTAGGGCTAGCGTTTGTGCTAAGGTTAGGGTTATGGTTAGCGTTAGGGCTAGGGTTAGAGTTAGGGCTAGAGTTAGGGTTAGCGTTCGGGCTAAGGTTAGGGTTAGCGTTATGGCTAAGGTTAGGGCTAGGGTTAGATTCAGAATTAGAGTTAGTGTTATGGTCAGGGTTAGGATTAAGGCTAGGATTAGGGTTAGTGTTATGGTCAAGGTTAGGCTGAAACCTAAGTCTAGAGTTGGTTCTGGTTATGTGTTAAGTTTTAGGCTGAGGTGAATGCTTAGGGTTTGGTCATTTTTTTATCGATTAGGATTAAGGAAATACATAGGTATAGAGTTTGAGTTAGGATCATAACTTGAGGCCGGGGGGGGGGGGGGGGGATTCTCCAGGGGGGTTATTGACAAGGGGTAATTGCCCCGGGGGGTAAATACGGGAGGGGGGTCTCCTCCGGGGGGGGGGGGGGTAATGTCATGTAGCCAGGTCCACTATTAGAAAGCCAAGATTCCAAACTGTGTAGCCTTATGTATGTAGGTAATCTAATCTCATACAAGTTCTTGAAAGCAACATCAAAGATGAGAAGTAAAAAGAGCCATCGTTGTCGGCTTATTTAACAGGGAAGTCTTAGTCTAAATCAATCCACGACAATGTCTTTAAGACAATAAACCTTAACTTTGCTTGAAATAACAATATCGTTCTTCATTCAGTCAAACTCAACATTATGGCTTCACTGAACTTTGTCATTGAAATGCATGTGTAGTTTGAAATGTGTGTCTGTTAAAATTGTACAGTTGATACCGAATATATCCAGCCTTTTTCTTCTTCGTTCAGCTGCTTTTCTTTCTGGATTTCTTTTCTTATCTTTTGTCAATCCAAGAACAAGTGTTGTATCCCCAAGATAGGTTGCTATCCCCAACTATAGAGCCTCATCTACACGGGAGATTGAACTCAGGACTTCTCGGTTTAGCAACCACGAACTTTACAAGTTCTTGATTTTGGTATTGGCGTGTCAGTTTTCTTCTTTATTTAGTCGACATCTAAAGTTAAACAAAAACAGTTGCCTACCTCAGCAAAAATCAATGTAGGCCAATTATGGCCAGTGTAGCAATTAGCAACATCAAAGTTGATTTGAATTCCATGCAACACTCATTCCATACTTCTCTAGTGTGGAGGTCTTGCTTATTAATATTATCCTGTTTGTTTGATACTTTTCTTTAACTTAATAATATTAACCATAGACACTTTTTGCCTGGAGTACAAACTGGGTCACAGTATTCTCTGGTAAACAATTAAGTTCTTTTCCAAATATATGCTCAGCTAATAGAAACAGCATTCCTAGATTATTTTTTTTTTTTTTTGTTTTTTTTTTAAAGGGCTTCAGCTGTTTTAATGTCAACTTGTGCTGGGAATACTATAACTACATACAACCCTTTTCAGCTTTCAATCACTTGCATCTTATGTACAAAGTATGAAAACCAAAAACATCAAATTTTGAGAAATAATTTATTTATGAAACAATTGCATATAATTATAAAGCCAAAAATGAATATATCAGGATTATTGCAATTATCGCCATTTGCAGATTCTTGTTTAACTATGGTAGATGGAAGTATTAGTTGCCTTTTACATCACTTTTCACTTCCTGAAACAAAACAAAATGATTTTCTTAATCATCCATCTGAAATAATAAAATTAGCAACAAAAAAAAAATCTTTAGTTTAAAGTAGTTTAATACATCAAAACAAAACAAGAAAAAAGTGATTGAATGAGATGAATCATGGCATAGATATCTATAAAATTTTGCTTTAGTGATAAAGGGGGAAAAATTTAAGTTATTTTAAGTGAAACATAAGCTAGAGAAATAAACTATTAGGCCTAATTTAAATAATTTAATTCCTTTCTCCCAAAACACTACATGTATCCTTAAAAAAAGAAAACTTAAAATTTATCAATATTTACCTTGTGTATAAACTCTTCTGTACATCTACTGTATCAGCTTGACGCTCATTAGGTATGCCTAGTTCCTGTTGAGCAGTTAAGACAGATTAAGTAAATAATTCAAATTTGTAAGACAAACCACTAAATGATACTGTTTTATATATATATATATATATATATATATATATATATATATATTTAAAAAAATACATAATGATATTGTATCAATCATCACCACTGACTTGGTTTTACTAGGTAAAATATTTTTTTAAATACAATATTTATACAAATAAAAATCTATCTCAATCAACATGTTCAAAATAAACCAAAGCAAACTTGTGATAACTTACCTGATTAATGTTTGAGAGGATTCACCCAGTTCTCGCCACTGAAGCAGATTAGATGCATGTGTTATTACACTTGTGATATACTGATTGCCATTTTGTGTACTTTTAGTCCTGGAGATCTATGTTGTAGGCATAGACTGTTAAACCTGGATAGTAATATTATAGAAGTAAATTATATCTAGTATAATATAAATATTTTAAAATATAAATGACACTAAATTATATTTATCATTATTGGAAATAAAAATGGTACAATTAAGTTATAAAAAAACAAATTATAAAATTTAAAGCAGCTTATTAATAATTGTCATACCTTTTCCTACTTTTATGTCAAATGTAAGAGGTAATAGAGAAAGAACATCTTGTGTCATTTAGTATGCTGTAGTCTTATTACTGGTAAAAATCAGATCTTCCCTTTTTTTTGGATGAACCTGTAAAAGAGAAATTACAACATGGATAAACACAATGAATATCATATCTAATCCTCAACTAGTTATCACCCCAAACCTAACCTCATTTTTTAAAACCAATTTCTAAATATGTTTTCAGAACAAATGTATGTTAAGTCTACCTATTTTAATATTCAGAATACTAATATTTATCAAAACTACCTCCAGTTGAAATTCAAGATACCTTTATAAAAAGTTATTATGACTTTAACTTTGTGTAGTTATTATTTAGGCTATTTGTTTAATTTATATTATTTAAATTAATATTTCATGCCTTGTTTTAAAAAGATCTACAAGTCTACTTTTGATTTTATGGTATAATCTGATAAAAATTAGGCTGCTACATCTGAAAACTAAGGTCAATGCAAAGACTTCCAAATTAACGATAAGTAGGCTTGTATAGATATTGTATATAATTACTAGCCCAATAGTATTACTCTACGACCAATGTATAGGACTTAATGTATCAGACCTAATTCCTATAATTAGGCCTACTAATTATTAAATAATTAATAGATCTAACAGTAGGATAATTACAATTATGGGCCTTAGCTGACATAGAGAGCTGAATACTTAACTAAACATTTTTAAAAATTATAGTAAGCTAAGTGAGTTGAATTATTTTATTTAGATAGGCCTAGGCTATAATATACTCTATAGCAGTCTATAGTTAAGTGATAGCCGCAGAGTAGCGTATATCATAATAATTTCAAATTAAATCTATAAGCAACATTAAGCCTCTGCCTTGTTGCCTAATTAAAAACTAAAGCCTATTAAGCCTTATCCTAATAAGCCTTTGGCCTAATTTAAATAACAGCCTATAGGCCCTATAATATATTAATAGGCTAAACTACTTGTAAGACCTAATAGACTAATGACTAAGAGAGTGCTAGGCCCCTTTCCGATATTATATAATAATTGCTTGATCGATATCATAATATCTAACACTGATTACATTAATTTACATAAGGCTATACCATCTTAACTATGACTAATACTTTTTCTACTAATAAAATAGGCTATCTCTAGTTTAAACTTAGGCCTAATAGTAATTAGTAATTATAATTAAGTAGGCCATTTTATGACATTTATAAAATTTTTAGTAGATGGCCGAGCCTTAAATTTAAATACTAAAATAGATTTAGCATACTATGCCTATTGTTGGTCTAATTAATAATTTATTTTTCATTTAGAATTTTAGATCTCCAAAAGATAGGCCTAGGTCCTAAATAAATTATTTTTATTTTATTGAGCCCGCCTTAATGTATAAGATGTGATTGTGATCTGTTTTTTTTTAATAAAAATAACCCTACACAATACTAGTGATTTAACTAATATCTAGTACTATTTTAGGCCTATTTAATTATTTATTAGTAGGCTGAATAAAATCTAAAGCTATAAGGCCTACTTTATTACTATATTTGCCTATTTATATTATTCTATAATTAATTTATGTTTTCTTTCAATACATAGTAGATCCTGTGGTACCTCAACATTCTAGTGCCTCGACATACCAGATTTTTTAAATACGAGCAGTTGAGCGAGTAATATTTCGCTTTGAGTTACGCGCAAAATTTGAGATACCGTATTTCACAGTTCATGTAAAAGAAATACCCCCAAAAAGATGCAAATGATTATTTATCGCAGCTATTTAATTATAATAATAAGCGTCTTACTCATATTTGCAGCATTATGAAAGGGAGAAAGAAATAAACTTCCTAAACAAGTTTTATTTTAAGCTACCAGCACATGAAAGTGACTTAAATTAAAATTAAGCATGGCAAAAAAGAAGAGAAAAGCTGTCACGAAAATTAAGCTAACGTAATAATTTTATTTAGTATTTATTTAGGCCTTACGTTTAAGTCTTAAGTGCAACAATGCTCAGTGAATTTTAGCCATTAATGGCATTAAGTTTAGGAATGATGTGTACTTGTGTAAGTTTAACTTTAGTATATTTTTAGACCTAAGCCTAATCTTGTAGATATAGATCTACAAACAATTTGAAATAGAAGAGATTTAAAATTGAGTAGATCTAGACTTCTAGATCTAGATCCTAAATGCTAAAGGACAGCTATGCCACAGAAATAATTATCTTTCTATCTAGTCAATCTAGACTAGATTTAGATCTAGCTAGTGCTACTGAAAAATTACTAGATTTTCTAGATCTATTCTAGATTCTAGAATCTATCATTTACTTTCGACGCACTAGGCATACTTTTAACTTTTTCTCTCTAGTCAATAATGTAGATTTCTAGATCTAAATGTAAATCCTGATCTTGTAGATTTGATTTACGTAGGTTTTACATCAGTGTAAAAATCGTTGATCAAGTAGATCTAGTCTAGATCTGGACTAGCTCTCGTCAAAACAAAATGGCTGGAATATTAGCTTCAAAACACCTACAGTTTATGCTTTTCTAATTGTGGAGAGCATGTTTAATTGTTGTTTTATTTTCAACGACAGTGTTGACTGAGAAACCACCAAAGGGTTTTATTCTCAGCGACACAGTCGGAGAGAGGCTCAACGATTCTGTCGTTGAGATGATCCGCATGGGGTGGTAAATCACAAGATTTCTTTTCATGCAGCAATTAAGCATTATTGTACTAGTCTAGTAGTGTCTACGTTTACAAAACGTATTAACAGCTGCATCAGTTTGCCATTCTAAAAATAACCATTACGATGCCTTGCAATGTTTAAAAAGCCTCTACGGTAGTACCACTTAGCAAGAGGGGTGTTAAGTTTAAGGCAACTGAATAATGTATTTGCTTACGAATAATTGAATAAGAAAATGTTATACATAAAACTTCACACATAATTACTTTATATATACAGTTTGAATCGTGTGATTAATTTAAAAAAATACAATACAGAAACAAATCAACTGATGTGGCACCTCTATTTAAATTTACTTATGAGCAAACAGCGTAGTGGTGGGGAAATTTTGACAAGTAGTAGTATTCTTACAGTTTGGGCGATAGTGATTACGATTACAAATTATATGAAACAGTTACAACCCCCCCTCCCCACACCTCACCACCACAATTGTGTAGAGCGACATTAATGTCACACATAGGTATACACTGGGTTGGATAATTGACCTAAAGTGACCGGACAGTGGTGAATGAAGTTGAAACCCCCCAACCCACCCCGAACTGATCTGTTAAGTACATGTAGAGAACGCGTAATGATATACCATAGTACCATGCCGCCAGAAAATTAGCTTTTCAAACGTAAAAATCTGTGAATATTGTTTTTGCAATTACCAGTAAAAAAGTGTGTGTAAGAAATTTTTTCTACAAGAATTACAAAAACAGAGTGTGTTACGTTAATTGTTTTTGGTTGTAGTGTATATATATATATATATATATATATATATATATATATATATATATATATATATATATATATATATATATATATATATATATATATATATATATCATAGCGAAGTAATGACATACAGCTAGTATGTATATATATATATATATATATATATATATATATATATATATATATATATATATATATATATATATATATATATATATATATATATATATATATATATATATATATATATAATACACGTATATAGAACGTGTTAAAAATTCGGCGCCTTTTTTTTGTGTGCTCTTTTCGCTCCCCCTACAACGAAAACCTGGATACGCCTCTGGTGACGTCATTTATGGATGACCCCTTATATGGCGTACGATATTTTATTTGTTACCTTGGTCGGACTACCGTTTCCGAAATAACATGTGGTGAATTATGTGAAGAAAATAAAACACGGTTAATGTATATTCTATACAGACTTATTACATCTGGCTCATTAGCTTCAACAATTTCTTGGCGGCGAAAAGGAAAAAAAAATTAATCCCCTTTAGCTATCAGTCTTCATGAGACACTAGGTGTAATAAAGGCTTTAATTATTTTTTGTAATCCTGCTGATGGGTCGAATGTGCAGATCATTTATTTCTGGCGATTCATGGGGCAGATGAAGTAGAGTTGGCCTGTTTGTGTGACCTCGGTTCAGATAGGGATAGAGTGGTCAGCGCTATTTTATTCTTAATATCGCCGTGTACTGTTGACGTGTGTAATGTGTAGCTTATTATGAAAATAAAATAATTAGTAATAAAACAGATAGTGTTAGTTACCTGACTGCAGCTACCATTTGTATTCATGAAAATAAACAGTGTTGGTAATATAGCGTAGAGAGCTGGACTACTAACCCGTAAGTCTCGAGTTCGAACCCGGATTCAAGTCAGTAAAGTAAAACAGATTCGCTTTCAAGGTCAGGCGTTGTAGTATAATCCCACAGTTGCTATGGTAACCTCTGTAACCCACAACTATACATATATATGTAAGGTTGAACGATGGTTTCAAAATCTTGCCATCAGAAGTGGGCTATTCGAACCTAGTGGGTGTACACACACGCTCTGGTTAGACAAACATGCTACACATCGCTAGTTAAAGTTCGATGCGTTCATTCAACAAAATTGACTACTACGAAACGGCACACTGAAAAAATACTCCGTCAATAAAAAAATAATGTAGCACAGATATAAAAAACTCTGAAACAGTTTTTGTAGTATATTTTAAACAACCCTTGATAGTTTCTGTCTAATAATAAAATATTGTTTTAAAAAAAAAAAATCCGCTTGAATTCTACATTTAGAGATGGCTCGTCCGTACATGTTTTTTCTTCAATTCTAAAAATAAAAAGAAGAAAGATAACAGTGTCACCGTGAGCGCGATTGAAGAACGCACGCGAGTCGCCACACTCGTAAGTTGACGTCATGTGATCGATAGCGTGTTTCGAGGTCATTAAACCACAACACAATCAAACTGAACCTGCCACCGACTTGTTGCCCCACACTACCGAATGGGAGGAGTCCATTCGCGTTTGTTCGACCGTCGTTACGGTTGGAACAGTTGGACCGTATACACGGGACAGTAAAAACACTCGCAATAGGACCCACCACAAATGTAAAAACATCTGAAGATGACCCATAACAAATGTAAAAACGTCTGAAGATGACCCATGGCAATTGTAAAAACATATAAAGATGACCCATGACAAATATAAAATCATCTAAAGATGACCCATGACAAATGTAAAAACAGCATCAAGTTGATAACCAATACCAAGTAAAGAAAACATCAATAACAGGACTAAAGAAAACATGAATAACAGGACTAAAGACAAGATCAATAACAGGACTAAAGAAAACATGAATAACAGGACTAAAGACAACACCAATAACAGGACTAAAGAAAACATCAATAGCAGGACTAAAGACAACATCAATAACAGGACTAAAGACAATATCAATAACAGGACTAAAGACAACATCAATAACAGGACTAAAGAAAACATCAATAACAGGACTAAAGAAAACATCAATAACAGGACTAAAGACAACATCAATAACAGGACTAAAGAAAACATCAATAACAGGACTAAAGACAACACCAATAACAGGACTAAAGATGACACCAATAACATGACTTAAAACAACATCAATAACAGGACTAAAGACAACATCAATAACAGGACTAAAGACAACATCAATAACAGGACTAAAGATAACATCAATAACAGGACTAAAGACAACATCAATAACAGGACTAAAGATAACACCAATAACATGACTTAAAACAACATCAATAACAGGACTAAAGAAAACATCAATAACAGGACTAAAGAAAACATCAATAACAGGACTAAAGACAACATCAATAACAGGACTAAAGACAACATCAATAACAGGACTAAAGAAAACATCAATAGCAGGACTAAAGACAACATCAATAACAGGACTAAAGAAAACATCAATAACAGGACTTAAAATAACATCAATAGCAGGACTAAAGATAACAATAAAAATTGGAGCAGATGCGCTGTTTAGGACGGGGACAACGGAGGCGAGTTTAAGAATAAGTTCTCTAAATATGTAGCGTTTTTTTTAATTTGTCACTGTAAGGCATAATTAAACTTGATAGAAGCTTTATTAAGAAAAAAATCAGTTATGGTCTTAAAGAAATACAAAGTGGGGCCTCGGATAATGTTATTCTTCAGTTGCTAGGTAAAAATGAGTAAGGGTAAAAATGGTAAACATTTAAAAGTGGAACTAGTACGGGATATTTTAATCACGCGCATTCCGAATCTTACACAACTGCTTTAAAAGGCATCAATATGCGCATAAATGTTTGCATCATTTTGTTACTCATATTGGTACACATAACTTTTGTCGCCAAATGACAGGTGTGGTAGATGACATCTACCACACCTGGTGACACCCGAGTGTGTTGCTGATACCCCCCCCCCCCCCCACGTGTTTTACATGTGAAAGTAATATCGCTTCTATTTTATAACACTGTTGACTTTAGGCTATTTAAATATTACTATTTACAATTTTCTATACGTTCCTAGGTCTAAGAAAAAAGGAAAAAACCTAACCATAATACTCCGTTTTTTGAGACACTCAACATTGTTCAAATTACAACTATGTTATGCGAGTGTGAGTGGAGTTATTTTTTTGGGGGGGGGGGGGGGGGAGGGGGGGGGGGGGTTGGGGGAGGAGGAGAGAAGATGATCAGAAATTGCTTTTTTAAAAAAGTTTATTCCAAAACGGGAAAAAAAAAACCTCTGCAAGATCAATATTTGAGGTCACACCGTAACTGCCTACGTAAGCACATAATGCGTCTCGTCTTTTAAGTGGTGTCTTTAAATTATCTTTGACATTATGTAGAAAAGTCAATGACTATGTTCTTTTTTTTCTGACAAGATCGGCATAACTGCATCATGCCTAGCAACTATACCAAAAATGTACATGAGAAAATGTGTTTTATCATTCAAAATGAATCATTTCAAAATATGATTGAACAAAATAAAAATAAAAAAAAACACACACACACATTGCAAATGCATGTACACACACCGAGACAACTGCATGAATAATCGCGAAATATATGAATATCTTGAGACCTTAAGAGAAATTACACATTATTTTCGAAAAAACTCAATGTGCCTTGATTTCAGTCGTTTTATTGTGTAGTGTTTTACAATCGTCATTCAGAGTTTCTTTCAGATACGTCCACCCCCCTCCCCAACGAAATAGAATTATTCATATGGAAAATATATACTTTTACCATTGCCCGTCCCCCTTCTCCCGGAAAATTGAGAACCCCCACGAAGAAGAAAGTCTGAAAGAAACACTGCAGGCATATATATGTAGACCCATCTGTCATGTGAGATACATTTTACATTAATTAACATGTTCACCTGAATGTGACCTTAACAGCTTTTGACATTACTTTACCTGGCGTGTTTTACACATGTCATTACCTGTCATGCGACATGTACACACCTGTCACTACGTGTACCTGACATATCACTGGAGTTAAACCTGTTCACCTGAGGTGTTAAACCTGTTCGTCTGAGGTGTTAAATCTGTTCACCTGAGGTGTTAAACCTGTTCACCTGAGGTGTTAAACCTGTTCACCTGAGGTGTTAAACCTGTTCACCTGAGGTGTTAAACCTGTTCACCTGAGGTGTTAAACCTGTTCGTCTGAGGTGTTAAATCTGTTCACCTGAGGTGTTAAACCTGTTCACCTGAGGTGTTAAACCTGTTCACCTGAGTTAGACCTGTTCACCTGAGTTAAATCTGTTCACTGGAGTTAAACCTGTTCACCGGAGTTAAACCTGTTCGTCTGAGGTGTTAAACCTGTTCACCTGAGGTGTTAAACCTATTCACCTGAGGTGTTAAACCTGTTCACCTGAGGTGTTAAACCTGTTCACCTGAGTTAAATCTGTTCACTGGAGTTAAACCTGTTCACCGGAGTTAAACCTGTTCACCTGAGGTGTTTAACCTGTTCACCTGAGGTGTTAACCCTGTTCACCTGAGTTAAACCTGTTCACCTGAGGTGTTAAACCTGTTTACCTGAGTTAAACCTGTTCACCTGAGGTTTAAACCTGTCCACCTGAGTTAAACCTGTTCACATGAGGTGTGAAAACTTGACTTTACAAATACAGTACACCTTGATTACGTTTGATTATATTCAGTTTCTTTTCCGTTTTTAATCGTAATGTTGTCACGGGATTTCCTCCAACACAATTGACTATTACGATTTCAGCCAGTTATGTGCCATTTAAGTCACTGAATTCGATTCCACCCTGATTTTCTTTTTCGATTTGCTTTCAGTCTTTGTCCAACCAAAAACAAACATCATTCAAGGCAGCAGTTGTTTGATTTTGGAGTTCTCTCTCCTGATGGATTGCTGTCTCCAGCTGTCGAGCCTCGGGACTTTTTAGCAACCATGAACTTTTACCGACCCGACTACGCGACCCCCTTAATTCCCTTTAAATATGTAGGATCTACTACTTTATACATTTGCCACTCCAATCTTTAATCTAAAAAGGGAGCTAAAGCCAGACATGAATCACAATGTGTTTTACTTGAGTTGTCTCCCGTGTCTATTTAAAAATTTCCCTTTCGCATGATCGCGGTGTTTTAATAATGTAATAAGATAAAAAAAAACAAATGGTAGCTGCAGTGAGGTTAATGTAATTAGTAATAAAACAGATAGTATTAGTTACCTCACAAGTTAAAGACAGTGTGATTACAGATTAGACTCTTGTTGAAGTGTTTGGCCACAGGAAGACCGTCTTCATTGTTGATTGATCGCAGGTGTTGGCTAACCCTGTCAGACAATCTTTTCCCCGTTTGTCCGATATAAAAGATGTTGGGCATGACTTAAAAAAGGACTTTTGTGTAACCGCCGTTCGGTTTTGCCACAATTTTAAAAATCGCCTTAGCACTGAAACGCGACTAATACTTAAATTTGGTACACGGGCACCCGATGGCTTGAATGAACAGATATCTTTCACCTAACAACCCCCCCCCCCCTCCCGCATACACCACGCCCCCAACCCCACCCCTATACGGTGTCCAAGCGTCCTTCTCACGCGTCTTTTCTTTTGGATATCGTGGCTAGCAGACAAGACGTGTTTTCACTGTCGAGCTAAGTCAAAAAATGTGTTACTGTTTGTCTTTATTTGTCTAATCTGTAATCACACTGTTGTGTGCTGACGAAGACCTTGGGTCGAAACGTCCATAGTACTTGTAACTGTCTTTAACTTGTGAGGTAACTAATACTATCTGTTTTATTACTAATAATGTAATAGCATTCTTTAAAAAATTACAGTTAGATCTAGATCTATCTTTTATTCAATTATAAAAGCTTTATAGAAATACTCAATGCAGAGTGTATTTTGTATATCAATTGGCTTAATTTGATTTTAGACTACCGCTACAATGGACCTATAAATTTAGCATATTACTTAGTAGCTATTAGATCTAGAAGTTGCAAAAAATAAAAATAAATGGGATTATAGTAAGCTAATTAAAAAAATTACATTACAGTTTACAGTAAAGGATAGAAGGCGCGCATATCATGGTAGCTAATTCAATACTGCTACATTTTTTTTACTAGCTTCCAGCTTAAGGGAGTGGAAATTTTTTATAATTTGTATAAATTAGGCTACGACCTAATATCATATAAAATATGGGAAGGCTAAATAAAGGCCAGGTACTCGAATTTTTAGGCCTTCTTGGACACGAATTTTTAGGCCTACTTGGCCTCGAGGGTAACTTGCAGTAGATCTAAGTCTGATTGATTAGTAGTTTATTTTATTTTCAAAAGCTGTCATATTATATTTAATGTAAACAAATGTAGATATAATTATAATTCTTTAATCTTCCGTTTTTCTTGTTTTTTTATTACTCTGTTTTGTATTCAACATTTTATTTTAATGGGGTGTACATTTCATAAGAACACCGCTATAATAATTTTGCTTCATTGATGTCTTGCTCAGCGCAGTCACTGGCTTTTTTCTCGCTGAATGGCTCTAAAAAAAGAACGGGAAAAAAGTAGAGCTCTCTTGTGTAAATTTAACTGCTTGAAAAATCAAACTAACTTGACACACCTGTGAAAAATGATGTGTAAGCCTAGCCTGGAGTTGTTCATTTACTACCAAAGAATTGCGATCCTAAAGGATCTCAGCAAGGAGTTTCGATCTTGAGACCTAGGCCTCTAGTAAGTGATTTTTTAAAATCGAATAAAATTAGTACAACTGTGATATAATATTTAAACTTGAAACAGATTTATCGACTGTTGACTTGGACTTAAAAAGACTGAAATGAAAGAGCGAATTTGTCAGTGTCTAGTGAGTCTAGTGGCCCTTTACTTTACGCTTGTGCGTAGATCTAGCAGACGACTTAGATCTACATTTTTTTAAAAGTCGTAAAATAAAAATTTCTCAAACTAAAAATTATCAAGGACTGGATTGCTTCTGCAGTTTTGATGTGCATTCACATTTAAATATTTAATCTTTTAAAATCTAGATTCTAGAATCTAGATTAGATTCTAGGCTATCGCGATTGAAAGTTGAAGTTAGCATTAGCTTGACTCTGACAATCATTGACATTGGGGTAGGCCTAATAATTTAAAAGCTAAATTAGTAGCCTAAATTACAAGTCTAGACTCTAGATCTAGTAACTAGATTCTAGATCTAGATTCTAATTACTAATACTTTTAATAGGCATTTGTTTATACTTTTATAGGCTAAGCTTTTACTTTAATTAGATCTAGCTAGAGGCCTAATTTTTTATACAATTATTATTATGAAGTGTCTACTCAGAAAAAGATTTTTCGCCACTTAGTCGGCAAAAGATAGTTCTGCCCATGCGCAGTGACCTATGGCTAGGGTTAGGGTTGGGGTTAGGATTAGGGATAGGGCTAGAGGTTTCTGGGGTTGTAAACACACGCATGCGCACTTCCATTGAAAACATCGCAGCGAAGGCAAGTTGTAGTTTCTCTCCATTGTGCATGCATATCTTTTTCCGGCTAGCATCGGCCTTATTATTATACAGTAATTTTTTAGGGCCCTAACTTAAACTAAAGGCTTTAAAGACGCTTTTTACTTTAAGACTTTAAGGCTTTAGCTCTTTAACAACTTACCAAACTTGCTGACATTTAGGCCTATAGTAAGTAGGCCTACTAATATTACTATAGATAGAGCTAAATGTTTAGGAAAAAAGAACTTGCAACAAGAAATCATGCTTGAAAAACTCTACATATTACTATTATATAAATTAAAACTTTTTAAAATAAATACACATTTTCCTCAATTAGTTAAGGGGTCATCCCTAAATGACGTCACACTTTTTTTGACGATTTTTACCTCCCCTCCGCCACATATCGTCACAAAAAGCCAAGACCCCCCCCCCTCTAAAATGATGTCACATCTCAGCCTACAACCCCCCACAAAATTGCATTTGAATTTTTCTAAAAACACCTATATTTTTCCAAAATCTTGTCTGGACTCTCTTAACATAGAGTATTTTAAGCAATTCCTATTACAACTTATTAAAACAGTTTTCTAAAACGCGAAATAATGGCTAAAATTCGTTTTCTAAAAAAAAATTTTTATAATGCAAAAGTGTGACTTCACACCATCTGACCCCCCCCCCCCCCCCCATTACACACCGTCACAAAATTACGGATCCACCCTCCGAGTGTGATGTCATTTATGGACGACCCCTTATCTAGATCTAACCTGAATTAATATTTTCTTCATGGATTCTGTAATAAAGTGAATATAAATCTAGATCTATATTGGCCTAGAATCTACATCTAGAATTCTATCAGATTTTGGCCTGCTATTATTGATATATAATACTTAGGCCTAGGCCAATTGATATAAATTAAACACAGGCCTAATAAATTATAGGCCCTATAGGCCTTCATTATAATATATAATTATATATATCTATGAGCCTACTATTATATTTATACTATTTGGCCTCATAAAACATGTATAATAATTAAATTAAACATTGCCAAGGTATTCTATAAGGTGCCAGGTTTTCATACATTGCCAGGAACATATACATGGATTTACAAGTCAATTCTAACAGTTTGATTAAAATGAAACATGAATTAAAATGAACTTGAATAATAAAAAAAAATTGATTATTATATTATGCGTCTACTAATGACTAATAGTCAAGCATAGAGCGCTACCTACATCTATTATTATTTGCCCGCCTCCATAAAATTCCACATGAATATATAGTTTTTTGTCTAAATAGACATTAAATTTGTCCAAAAAATGTAACAACTATAGTATGCAATAACAAAAGGGGAGCTAACTAAATCAAAAAGGATCTATCACTTGACCAGTCAGTTAAGCTGGTGTTCATTGATTGTGACAAATCTCAAAGCAGCCATCAGTGCCAAAAGATGCTGACAATTGTTATTTAGAATTAACTTATTGCAATGCAAGCTACTAAACATGGTTTAAAGGAAATGTTCTTGTTTTAATCATGTGAGATGTCCACATAATTAAGAAATCCCCGAAAAGAGGGAGTTATGTTATTGAATTAGTTGTTTAAAAACTTAAATGCTGACTTATTACAATTGTACAAGTGATAATAGTAATTCTACACACCAGTAAAATGTATTCTTTCTTTGGTCTATCCATAAATAGTCTCCCTTATTGCTTTGTATCTAGTTAATTGCCGTCTCCCTAAGTCTTATGTAGATCATGGAGTGAGACTACAATTGTATGAAGTCTGTTGTTCCGCCCATCAGCCAGCCCCCAAAAGCTATGAAGCAGCTGGGTGTAACTGTTCACACTGCTATTCCATTTGCTGTGGAGGTAGACTGGACATGATTGCCCCTGTAGATAAAGAGTTGCGGGTGGGTATTCATTATAAACATAGGTTAACACCTGAAATTTTGAGGGGGTATGTAGGTTGAAGTGTGACATACATCATCTTAGGGGTGAGGTTTGGCTTTTTGTGACCGTTGGGGGGGGGGGGAGTTGAAAATAATTTTAAAAGCATAGTGTTATTTATAGATTAAATTTAATTAGTTTTTTATTTAATAAATACACCAGTTGACTGGAATACTGATTGCTGACATTTTAAAAACATACAAAAATAGTATGCAGTTTTGTAACTCAATTCCATGTCACAATATGTTTGAGTCGAAATCTGATATATTAATATCAATGAAGTTTGGTTGTTATTGAAAACCAGTTTGTTCAGTTTCGCCAGAGTTGTCAGTGTAAGCCTGTATGTGGCATGTTTGTTTTGGACTATGTTTTCCTTGGGAGGATTAGCGGCTAAAATAAGCAGCAATGTTGAAGAAATGAATTTAGATATGTTTCACTCTATATTTTGATAGAGCAAGTTGGCATTTATCTTTTTTTATTATTCATATATAGTTCAGTGACTTAAATGGATGTTGTGTACAGTGTTTCTTTCAGACTTTTTCACCGGGATAGCACTTGAAATTTTAGGGGGGGGGGGGGGTAGGGGACACACACACTGTTTAAGGTATATATTTTCTATATAAATTTCATTTTGTTCAGGGGGGGGGAGGGAGATATACACCCCCACCCCCCACCCCAAGAGATGCCTGGAAGAAGCTAGGGTTGTGTAAAATAAAGAATAAGACTTCATATTCTAAACTGAAGTATTGAGAAAAGGATGTCTTTGATACAGTACTTTCCTAACACGTCAAACCTTTCCACGTTCCCAAAAAACTAACCCTGAACATAACTCGCCTGTCTTTACGGCTGTTATCTCCAAATAGCTGCACCCTAATAATCGAAACTCTGACATTAAACGTAAGGTTAGGTTAGTGTAAGAATTATCACTTTCACTAACACCACGTTTAATGTTCAAAAATCGATGTGCTCTTATTAAAAAATCGATTATTACGAAAACCACACACACATTATTTATACCTTAACCTAGATTAACACTACAAATGAAAAATCCACGCATTACTTTTAAAATTGACTGATAAAACCTCTTTATCTGACCCCTTCCCTCGACTGGTTACTTCTATAAGGTTGACCTACTAATTTGTAAACAGCACGACGTTATTATGGGATGTTACGCATGGCTATAGTAGGCCTGGGTTGTAGAGTGACGTTTTCAGACACAGCCCCAGGTTAGATAATGGAGTGTACATGCTGCTTACAAACACACCATCTGTTATCAGGTTGTCACGTGGGGGGACCTCTCCCCCCTCCCAATATATCCATGGATTTTTTTATTGAAATACACGACTCCATAAATTACGTCACACTCCTGGGGAGGGGGGGGGGAGGTGGACTTTGATGGGAAGGTCGGTAGAAGTCACAGTGTATAACTTTAAAATGTGGAATTTTTTAGTACTGAATCTTAACCACTATTTTGAATTGTAACGGAAATTGATCCGGTACCTCAATTAGCTAGCTCAGTTACTATTTTAGAAACTCCTGTTGTGAAACTGGGGTTGGGGGAGGTAAGTTAAAGTGTGACGTTTTCTATAAATAAGTCCTTTTTATGGGGAAGGGGGTGTTAAAAATCGTCATAAAAGTTGACGACCTTTATGGACTACCTTACCCCTGAAGATTGTTGTATGTATTGATGACATGTAATAAACGAGCACGCAGGATATTCCCACATTCTACCCCTGAAGATTGTTGTATGTATTGATGACATGTAATAAACCAGCACGCAGGATATTCCCACATTCGTGTTGAAACACACTTCTATCTTAGCTAAACAGTACCTGTCCTTTTTTTTTTTTACCTCCCCTCTCTGCTGTCTACATTTCATAGAACCCCACTAGCGGCTATTTGCTTTATATTTTTACCCTCCAGCTTTAAGCAAACATGCTCCTGTGAATTATGCATACGCCTGATTTCAATTAAAAAATGGGACATGACTTGGGACTTACAACACACCTTCCTCACTACAGTTTAAAAAAAAAAAAAAACTTTTAACTATTTTTAGCCATTAAACAATGGCATGTTGCACTGCCTTCTATGTTTCTACCAGCCTCACATTTTGAAATATCTTTTTATCCGACCTGTGTTTGAATATGCGGGGGATAAATTGAGCTGCATTCAGTAACCCATATGGAGCTTGTATATCGGACACGTTTGCAATCTTTGTGTTTGCGTTATCAACCGTTGTAGTTAACTCGTTGGACTGGTTATCTGCTATCGGGGTCATCTGACAGGTAAACAACTC